TTAGAACTGGTTCAACACCAAACTTCTTCAGTTGGTGCAAAGAGCACATTCTCTGCTGTACTTTCTTGATACTGGTGATATTCATTTCCCATTTTAGGGTCATACATAATTAAGAGATCATACATAATTCCCAAAACTTAAAAGAGCTCCACCACATTCACAGCCACATCATTGATGACCACCATGAAGGGCGGTCTTGGAGAATGTTTCCAGACATCAGCCACCAATTCCACTGTTTTAAGAGTATTAGAGCCCCAGGTGGTTGTTAGCACACCATGATACCACCTTCCTGCACAAGGTCTCACCACTATTAGTGATGAGACCTACTGTACAAGGGTGAACAAGACCTACAAGGGTGACGTCATCTCCAAGCTTAATTAGTTTTGTGGAAGAGTCGCCAGAGGTGTACGGTAGCTGTTGGTACTGTATACAAGGAACAGAGCAATGGGGAAAGCACATATCCTTGAGGCACACCAGTACTCACCAACAGTCTGATTAGTAAGGGCTTTGCCACGCAGCGGAGAGAAAGCTGAAATTCTTTGGCAGATGGAACATTCAACTGTAACCATTCATTGTAAAGGAGCTATGGAATTGTAGAATTAAACGCGGAACTGAAATCTCTGAAAAGAACTAGTGCACACGCGCTTGAGGATCCTAGACATTGTGAAATGTAGTGAAGGCCCATATTAACAGTGTCAATCACTAACCTGCTGGCCCCACATGCAACATGGGGAGCCTCGAGATGTGAATCTGTAGTAGTCCTAAGATAAAGTATCCTATATGTTTGAAAAGTCTTCGTTATGATGGAACCACAAGCATCTGTAGTTATTAAGATTATTTTGTCCTTCTTTGTAATGGGAACAATAGAGGATTCAAAGCAGGCAGGGATCTTATGCCAATCAATACTGATGTATCAAAGATCTACTGAAGTAAAACCCAGACTGTTGAATTTTAAGTGACTGATACAAAACAAATTATATATCAAAACAGTAAAATTTAAATACACAACTTGCACACATTGTAACCCAAACAAGGGAGTCTGAACTGAAGTTAATGCCTGAATGCCTTAATTCAAAAATAAAATTCAACATTCATTTCTAAAACTTAAAAAAAAAAAGCTTAGGAGACCTCTACATTATCTTTCAGGTATCTGTTTGATGCTGTTGAGAGTCCGGGGACAAAAGATGACATTTTTTCTGATCGAGATAATATCGTAAAAAGCGTTATGACCAGGGGTTCCATTGTAAATCCAACAGC